TGGGGCCGCTCGGGCCGGGGCTCTGGCGGCTGTTGTCGCTCCCCATCACGCTCCTACTTTCATCAGGACCTCCAGTGCTTTTCTCCTTTGAGGCCCGGAGTCAAAGGGCAGAGCGGGGAAGGAGGGAGAAGAGCGGGGGGGATGGGAGCCTGACACAAAGCGCTGACCTCCGAGGAGTGGAGCAGATGGTCCCACTTACTCCTGCCGCCCAGCCAGCACGGCTCTCGGGGCCCCAGGCTTGGGCCTGACCCCGCCCGCCAGCTGAATGCCTGCACTGGGGCCCCGCGGGGGCCGGGCTCCCCAGGCTCCCCCACCCGCCCCACTCCGCTGCCCACTCTGCCCTCGCCTCCTGGCGTTGGAGTCAGGCTGCCCAGAGCTGGAAGCAAGGGTTGGGGGCCTGGGCTGAGATTCTGCCCTGGTCCAGATTCCCAAGAACCTGCCAGGCCGGGGTGTCCCAATCCTAGGGTCACTTCCAGAGCTTTAGTAGACACACCGATTCCTGAGCACTACACCAGACCAATTAATCTCAAGCTCCAGCAGCAGGGTCCAGAAATCTGCAATGGCTAGGCGACAGCCTAGGTTATTCCGATCTGCAGCCAAGTTTGAGAGCCAGGGGCCTAGCCTAATTCACCTTCCTTTTCATCGAGGAAGCTGAAACTCAAGTGGAATTATTATAACTTGTTGGAGGAGAGCCATTGAATTGTGGCAGGCTGGGGACTTGCATGGAAGACAAGATGATGGGGAGTGATCCTCAAGACCATATGACCCTTTAAGTCAGCATTCAGGGAACAGTTTATGAGGACTTAGTGTTTACCTAGTATTTGTTCTAGGTGCTGGAGGTAGAAAGATAAATATGTCTGTTCCCTGCCCTTAAGGGACTCATAGATCTTCTATGGGTATGTAGATAGACGCATGAACAGCTGACTCTAGCCTGAAAAGGGGTAGGAGAGGTGCAAGCAACATGTTAGAGTCAGGAATGAATTCTGCTTCCTTTGGCGGATGTGGAAGATGGGGGCAGTGGTAGAGAAAGGGGCAACAGAGTTGCAGGCAGAGGGGGCAGTGGAAGCAAAGAATACAAGGGTGAATGTCTGCAAGGTGACATAGCATGAGAAGAGAATGTCCTTTTATGGATATGTTACAGGATAGGGGTCCTGGGGATTCAGACCCCAAGAGAGGGTTCTTCAATCTCTCTCAAGAAAAAAATCAGGGTGAGTCTGCAGTGCAAAGTGAAAGCATGTTTATTAAGAAAATAAAGAAATAAGACTAGGTACAGTGGCTCACGGCTGTAATCCCAGCACTTTGGGAGGGCGAGGTGGGCAGATCGCCTGAGGTCAGGAGTTTGAGACCAGCCTGGCCAACGTGGTAAAACCCTGTCTCTACTCAAAATACAAAAATTTGCCAGGTGTGGTGGTGCGTGCCTGTAATCCCAGCTACTTGGGAGGCTGAGACAGAAGAATCACTTGAACCTGGGAGGTGGAGGTTGCAGTGAACCGAGATCGCACCATCGCACTCTAACCTGGGTAACAAGAGTGCAACTCTGTCTCAGATAAAAAAGAAGTGGAGGAATAAAAGAATGGTTACTCCATAGAGTGGCCCTGAGGGCTACAGGTTGCCCATTTTTATGGTTATTTCTTGATGATACGATAAACAAGGGGTGGATTATGCATTCGTCCCCTTTTTAGGCTATATAGGGTAACTTTCTGATGTTGCCATGGCATTTGTAAACTGTCCTGGCACTGGTGGGAGTGTAGCAGTGAGGACAACCAGAGGTCACTCTCATGGCCATTTTGGTTTTGGTGGGTTTGGGCTGGCTCCTTTACTGCAAACTGTTTCATCAGCAAAGTCTTTATGACCTATATTTTGTGTTGACCTTTTATCTCATCCTGTGATTTAGAATGCCTTACCCATCTGAGGCTGGGCATGGTGGCTCACGCCTGTAATCCCAGCACTTTGGGAGGCTGAGGTGGGTGGATCACGAGGTCAGGAGATCGAGACCATCCTGGCTAACACAGTGAAACTCCATCTCTACTAAAAATACAAAAATTAGCCAGGCATGATGGCGAGCACCTGAAGTCCCAACTACACTGGAGTCTGAGGCAGGAGAATTGCTTGAACCCGGGAAGCAGAGGTTGTAGTGAGTCAAGATTGCGCCACTGCACTCCAGCTTGGGTAACAGAGCAAGATTCCGTATTAAAAAAAAGAAAGAAAGAAACAGTAAGCTTGTCCTGTATTCCTACAAAGATATTCCACAATATATTCCACAAGAGTAAAAGCAAAATAAGTAAAGTTCTTCCAAGTAAACTGAATTAGAAGGCTTTCCATTAACTGGGCAACTGTTGGAACCAAGCTGATATGGGGTTGTTAGTTGATTGTAATGTGCCCAAAATTGGAATACTGGTCCAGATTTTTACATTACCCATCCCTCTTATTTCTTATGAACAGCAGTCAGAGATTACTGGTTGGTTCACAGGAATAAGCAGAGTTAGCCTAAATTGCAGAAATAAACTTAAAAACAACTAATGAGACTAGACTTTAATAACAAGTGTACCATGGTTCTTGAAACATAATATTTCTCTGTCCAGTTTCCCATTTTTACTAAAGACAAATCATGGTAAGACCGATTTGCTTTATTATACTTGGTCTAATTATTTGTATAAAGTACAGCAAGAATAATTATTTTTCACATAGGATCTTTTAAAATTGGCTTTGATGGAACTCTCTTCCATAGAAGAAAACTTAGATGAGATTTTTAAAAGCCAAGCCCTGCCATGGGCTTGTACCCTTAAATACCTGTGAATTGGGTAAATTCCTCTCTTTTTGAGGTTCCAAGATAACTTGGGGCTGCTGGACCTGTGAGAAAGTGACATTCTTTACTTGTCATAGGTCAGAAACCCTGTACAGGGACTGTGTAGGCAAGGTATGAGACCAGTTCCCCAAAGGGCTTTTATTGGCTCTACAAGTTAAGTTTGATTCCTTAAAGGAAAGCACATCATTCCAGTCAAAGCCTTGGTAAAATAATCAGTTTCTCCAACTGTGTCCTGTTACAAAAGAGAACAGACTCTTATATGCAAATAATTATATTGCCATAAGTTAAGAATACTCACGACTAGTTTCCAAATTCTGGAGAAATCAGGTAGAAAGAAACAAATATGTTCCAAATTTTGTTCACAGCAGTATACTTTACTCAATTGCTACAAGCTGCAAATAGCTCAAAAGAAAAATGTCCTTGACTCTGAAAAACAGAAACAAAGGATCAGCAACATTTTAAGCAAAATTTAAAAAATTACTTCAGTTTTCTATTGGTTCAGTTAGTTCAGTTGACTCCTATTCTATCTGATATTCATGAAGTTTCCAGCTCTTCATGGGAGTTCTGCAAGTTGTTTCCTCTATTCTAATGTTACAATTTCCAAAGTTATTAGAAACCTGCATTTAAGAACACCTGCTAGAGTTTTATAGTTCATTTTAAAACACCTTTTAAAGAGGATTAAAACAAGACAACAATTGTCTGGATGATAAAAAGTTTTAGGACAGCCACTATTAAAGCCACAATTGGTAAGGAAATTTGGTTACTTCTGTGGCACACAAAATTTTACATAACAATTATAACTATTAATAACATACATTAAGTTATATTACAATTATAGGAGTTTCCCATAACTTTGGACCTTATACCAATAACACATTTATGCAAATATAGTCCAAAGAAAGCAAAACACCATTTCATATTTGACAATGCTTCCTGTATGATTTTTGTACCAAATAAGCCAAATTTCACCTTTATATTAATGTACTATTAAACCCAATTTTAAATAATACTTTATAGACATATTTACCCAATGTTAATGTTTAACCATAAGGTAAGATTCTTTTTTTTTTGAGATGGAGTCTCGCTCTGTCGCCCAGGCTGGAGTGCAGTGGCGCAATCTCAGCTCACTGCAAGCTCTGCCTCCCGGGTTCATGCCATTCTCCTGCCTTGGCCTCCCGAGTAGCTGGGACTACAGGCGCCTGCCACCACACCTGGCTAATTTTTTGTATTTTTAGTAGAGACGGGGTTTCACTGTCTTAGCCAGGATGGTCTCGATCTCCTGACCTCATGATGTGCCCGCCTTGGCCTCCCAAAGTGTTGTGATTACAAGCGTGAGCCACTGCGCCTGGCCAGTAAGATTCTTATAAACCTTTTATAACCCTTTACATTTTTTTGTGAAAGAACAGATTAGTGGTCTAAGAAATACCTGTTGTGCTTCTATTCCAATGTTTAATTTACGGAAAAACTGAATAATACGGCTTTAACTTTAGCCAATATGTTCACACACAGAATATCTTACAATTAATTTTTATGAACCTTCCACACCTTGTTTAAACTTTAGATTTTTTTTCTTACTAAAAACAATCCTTTAATACTTTAGGCAGAAAAAAATCCACATTCTCATGACTTCTTACAATCTTTCACCAAAACACATTTTACTTTCTTTACACACTTTGCATGTTAAATTGTTTCTTTAGTAGTTTCAATTACATGTTATAATGTTAATTCTTAGCAACTTTTATTTTTGGTGAAAACCTTGGTAAATTCGAGATTTTAATTATGCACTAAGTATACAGCCTAGCCTAGGACATACCAGGCAGAAGTGCAGGTAAGAGCTGACTCTTGGCCGGGCACCATAGCTC